CATTACGGTTCATACATGGTCGTGAAAGCGAGCCGGCAGGCCTTATTATAAACAATTTGCGGCGGTCTACGAGGGCTATGCGCCAGCCCTCTTGAGTTTCGAGTTAAAACGCCCCTAGAGCTCCCAAGGTCTGTCTGAGACTCAGACTCGGCGTGTCGCGTGGCGTCAGTAAAACTGCATCTGCTCTGCGTCTCTCATAGTTGTACTAATGACGCCTACTCGGGTAATGGAGTGGCCTGCGGGAGTAGTTTGCAATGTCAAGGGACCACCATAAGATCCCTTACGACTCCCTTACTACACTTGCCTGCCTCCCTGCCTGCACAGACTTACCCAGTAATCTGCAATCCGTCAGTCACTCATTAGCTTCAGCTCGGAAAGTGCACGAGAGAAGCATCTCCCGTGTAAAGTGTCTCGTACATCCAGGCCCTATACGGAAAACTTTGCAGTCGTACGCGAATCCTGAGGTCTCATACACATCAATCGAGGCAATATTCGAAAAACGAGAGCCCAAATCACTAATTCGCGTCCACTAATTCTCGTCAAAGGTGCGAATGAAAATGAGCGTTACAGGGAATTGTTCGATATCGATGATCGGAACGCAGTCCGGTAGACATGGATGTCCGAGAGAGTTCGCTCATGGCCCGGATTCTTGTGAGATCGATCGAAACTGATCGAGCATGGGACCCTTGCAATGAGCCTACGTACAGATGTCGGTGCTTCTGCCCAGCTCAGACGTGGAGCAGAGAGCATTCGATTGAACGGATCATCTGATCACGTTCGAAGTGAAGTGAAGCATAGTTGTAATTTTGCAAGCAGTGGAGACTCAGACTCAGACGCTTCGTCCAGCCCCACTCGTCACGGTATATGATATATTTATCGTTGTTCGTTGTTTGTTGGGTATTCGCAGAAAGGGAAGAGCGAAAAGAGGACCGAAGATCGTAGGAAGTCTTTGAGCAGCATGGGCGACCACGAGAATTGGAATCTTGTAAAGTGTGTGAGGGTGGCCCATCAGCTCGGCTGTGCTGGACCTGGTCCTCCTCTGCTCTCGTCCTAGGCCCAGGCATTGCCCAACCCGCGAATCGACGCTGCAAGGGGCCGGGGCCTTCCTTCCTTGCAGAACAGAGCGGCGCGGAGCAGATGAGATCAGATCAGCTGACAGGAGAGCTGAGCTGCAAGCTCGCCTACCCGACCGGTGTGGACTAAGCCCGCCCTCTCTTGCTGACACCCCGGATAATCACTCTCGGCCTCGTGCAGCAGACGAAATCACCGTCAGAAACTGCTGTCAAGGCTTTGCTACGCCAGGGAGGGGGTGGTGCGGGGTGCTGTCCCTGAAATCGGAGCAAATTGGGCCGAACTGCGCTGCACCATCATCCATTCTGACCTGGATGACATGATGCGCCAGGCCTGGCTCGCCCTCGGTACAAGCCTTTCACAAGGACGTGGTAGATTCAGTCATTCATACACAATAATAGGATTCATGTAGAGACAAACCGTGGACACGGTTGAACTCATCGCATCCGGAGAAGTCTCCGATCGACAAGTCCACCCATCCGTCATCTTCTCAACCTGTGGCACAGCAACACATTGTCTCGTCGAGAATTGCTGATCGGGTCAAAGGTCATCCCAGTTCTTTGCGTCCCGTTTCAACGTATAGCTCTCGGTCATGCTCTAGACGGGCTCAGACAATAGCCCTCAAGGCGTATCGTACTTCTCCACGTGCGTACGAGTACAGTAGCGTGGTCTTGGAATCAGAACCAATTACGATGCCACAACAACAACAACCGATACAATATGTGCATCGAGCCAACCCAGCCGCGCACAGCTATGGAGGAACCGTTATCTTGGACGTGAACGCTGTCTGCTTTCCCTTCCCTTCGCTAGCTCGCTCGCTCGCTCCCAACTTCCCAAGAGTCCGAGGGGACGGGATCAATGATACAAATCCTCGAAGTGCTATGCATTAATTAGGTGTGGCAGTAATTTCAAAGCCAAACAGTCGCGCCTGGAAGCTCACAAAGTGCATACGACAGGCGGATGAGCGAGACAAAGGGAACCACTAGTAAAACGCAATAGTTTATGTCCGCAGTGCCTGGTCCCATTAAGTCCACGTCTCCAAGATTCAACTGTACGACACAAGAACTGTACATTTATCCGTGGCTTAGGTCAACATTTTATCTACGTAGATTACTGTGCTAATGCTGCGAGAGTTTAAAACAAAAGCTCAGGGCCTGGTTCAAGATACCGTGAGCATGCACGTGCTTAATTCATCAAGGTGAGTCTGCGCAAATGAGCTCAAGGTCAACTCGCATTTCTCTCATTTTGATCCTGATTCCTTGAACGCTCTCATTCACCCATATGGTCCGGTAGCGAGCTCGAGCGAGCGAGCGAGCGAGCGAGCGTGTGTGTTATATCCACTACAGTGTTGTAATGGCTCGCGCGATTTCGGGTGAAATGCAACTCCGAGGCTGTGAGTGATAAGCTCGTTTTGGTGCAGCAGAGAGCGACGGTTTGAGGCCGACAAGCACATTACAGTGTCGACTGAAGGCGTTGCTTCTACCTGACGCCAGATCGATATTCCGAATTTCCGAATCCCGTCGGACAGGTGCTGCGTCATCGACGACGCAGGGCAGTTTCTGTTGTGCGCAAAGCTGTTCAGGTCGTCGATCTCGTTCCTGTCTCACGTGTCTCTTGTGATGGACTTCAGACGTGGAATTCAGGGCAAATATGCTTTCCTTACTTGGACGTGGACTGGTCCAGTCACTTCAGGTCTGTGCCTTTGACCACACATTTTTGATTCCATTCTCGAGAGTCCATGCGTTAAAACTCGGCCACCATCGACCTCAAAGCATCAGCTCAAAGCATGGGCCCCATTTAATCAAAGTAAGCGTTAATCGTCGCAGAGAGCCCCGGTGACTGGGGTTCGGGTGACCCAGTCCTCTGGTGGTCCTTGACAGTGGCTGGAAAGTCCATCACTCGGGGAAGAAAGGTGCACTTCAGCAGAAACGATCACGAAGTCGATGCTGGCGAATCTCCGTCACCGAGACCTGCAGGTGGACGGAGATGGCGATGGAGACTGCTATAACAAGAACTACTGTAGGCAGGGCAGTTGCCACTACGTATGGAATCTCGGCATCGAGGTTAGGGCGCTAATCACAGCTCCGGCACAGATCTGCTTCTGCTGCAGAGTCGAAACGAGCATCACATGCCCCATAGCCATCTGTATCAAGTTGACTGTCCGAGCTCCATAGTGGCCTTCTCTGACTTGCCCCTAGATATAGGGGTCGGAGATGGACGCTAAAGCAGCTGTTTGCAAGTCAGACTGTAGCTGGTGCTCCACAGATATGGCCATGTATTTCACTTTGGCCCAAGTACACAAACTGTCGACTGAGCGTGTACGAAGCTCCGGGCTTACGGGCTCGTCATCAACCGTACGTCCTAATTACGATTCTCTCATCTGGGCCCTTTCAGTGAGAGTAAGTTCGCACTAGGGACTCCAATTTGGATCTGCAAGCTGAGTTACAGGAGGCTTCGGACACATTTATAATATTTCAGAGTATATATATAGATATAGATATATATATCAATCAGCAGTGGTAGTAGTAGCATTAGCATGATATGGTCTTATAGCATCACTACTACCATTAGACAGGTAATCTGGAGTGTTGTAGGCAGTTCTAGGTCTTAAAGGTGGAGCGGAGAACGAAAGGAAAATGCTCCTCAAGCCAAAGTGCATGGGTGGTTTTACAGTAGTAGTGTCCTTGTGCGTGTGGCCCTCACGCTCGCCTTGTCGTGGTCGAGGTTTTGGCCATGGCTAGAAGCCTTCACCGGTTCAGCCTATCCAACTGGAAACCCATTGTTACCTCGCTGTTTACTCAGAGAGATGGCCGCGGGAATCGCCCTGGCATCGCGGATTGGCTCCCGTCCTGGTCTGTCAGATTCCAGAACCATTGATAACCTGGGTCTCCTAAAAGACAACATAAATTGCTCAGCCGCACTGCGTCTTCTTCTGACTCCGTATGATGTCCAGCTGCAGAGGGACAACCGTGTGTGTGAGTACGCAAATGAACAAGTCTGCTCAGAGTAAAATTAGCTGCTGCAAATGCATTTCCCATTATAGAGGATTCGCCCTGCCCTTGGCTCGACACCGAGCTCGGTCCAGGAGGTACACATTTTCTTTCAATGCAGATAGAGGCATTAAACTTGCAGCGCTCAGAGAAATTTACCATGGTCAATTTTGCGCACAGAAAAAGGGGAAACTGAAAGTCAGTAAGCGAAAAGCAATCAAATTCATTTCCCCGTCGACCTCATAATGTTCGATGGATGGCGTTCTCAGACAGGTGAAGAATGGGATTAGGTCTGACGAAGGCTCAAGCCCGAAAATGTTCGTGTACAGGGTGATGTACGTAGCCAGGATGACGTGGTCCGGGAAGAACGGGAAGAGACTCCCGTCAGACCTGTCAAGGATTCCTTGCTCGTAAAACTATGCGATGACAAGGGCGAGGCTAAAACAAAAATTCCCTGCCCACAGATTAGGGGAACATGTCCCATCTGCTGGATGAAAGTCAAAACAGTGGAGGGTGGAACTTGTGGGCCGTGGTCGTCGTCGTCGTCCCAGTCTGGTAACTCGAGCAGAAGGTAACTCGGACTCTCTCTCTCTTTCTCTCTCACTTTCGCAGGCCCCGAAGCTCGGCATCAGATCTTGCAAGTCACTCTTGCACACTTTGACACACTCCCTCTCTCGTAGGCGCAGGCTCTCATTCGCAGCTTCGTTGGGGAGGCTAAGGAAAAGGCTAGCCTGGAGGAAAAGCCAGCAGATTGTCCTGCGACTGGGAGGGAGGGAGGGAGGGAGGGAGGGAGGGATGAGCTGCTGCCCGGGGGGGCTGCGGCGAGAGCTGACCCACCAGCCTACAGTGGGACGAGGCATATAATCTGGAAGCACGGGACGGGGCTTGATCATTAGACGATGATAAAATATTGCGCTTGTGGCCACTGCGATCGTATCTCTCTCTCTGCCCGAAGTCGCGAACGCAAGCAATCATCACTGTACCATGCAATGGAACGAGCTCTCTCGCAGACTCTCGCTCCACCCCGTCGGAACATGTACGAAAAATATCGGTCCTGGGCTCTGGGCTACACCTGTACCTCCCTGCATCCTTCTCCCAAAGTCTTCCCTCTGGAACCGCCATTCTATATAAATATCTGAGCGTGTGCAGACTTATGTTCTGTCTCAAGCCCTCCTCGAGCCTATACGCTCGTCTTCTTTCTCGACCCCCACCCCCACCCCCAGCCCCCCTCCCTCCCTCCCTCTTCCTTTCCCTTCTTCTTCTTCTCCTCCTCCTCCTCGCCCGGTCTTCTTCTTCTGTTCTCTTCTCCTGCTGCCCAACGAGCTGCTCCTTAATCGCCAATCAGCCCTCTGCCTGAGCGAGCGCTGCCGTCGCATCGGGCGTGGCGGACGACGCGCAAAACCTCAACAGTCTTGACGAGCAGCAGCGACGAGGGACGACGGGACGACGGGCGAGAATTCGTCGTCGGCACTGGAAGCACTGGCAGCGGGTGATAGAGTCTAGACTATTATGAAAGGGCTCGCCTGCGCCGGCGACTGTGGGTGGCACTCGTAGAGTCTGGGAGAAGGAAAGGGGATGATGATGGTCAGCAGGGCATTCTCTCCGACACGAGAACAGATTGGAGCGCGCCTGGAATGACCTCGTATAGATCTGCAGCAGCCTTGACCGTCGTCGAGAACAGGCCGTCGTAGTCTCGCGAGCCATAGCACAATCATGGTGCAACCGATACATTCGCCTTGCTGTGAAGTAAAGCGAGGCCTCAGAAAAGGACCCTGGACTCGCGAGGAGGATATCCGGTTGAAGGAGTACATTACAAAGCATGGACACAGCTGTTGGCGCACTCTTCCTAAAGCAGCAGGTACTTCTATCACGACGCTCGCTCGCTCCTGTTTTCTCTGCTCTGGACTTGTGTCATCCGTCGACATTGATCCTGACCCTCGTGGTCGCGAGTCGTCCGGCATGGCATGGCGTGGCCTGGCCTGGCTCGGTGGAGCAATTCGCCACCTCGTGCGCTCGTCGGCTCTACGTGACAGCCCTCAATTATTAGGAACATGTCAATAAATGCACGAATAATCTGCCGGCTGCGCGGCGTGCAATCCGTCGCAATTCGCTCGGGGGCCGAATTCGCTCATTCCTGTGCCAGTCTTTGTTCCGCATGCCTCGACTAACCAAACGCAGATGTCGGTCTTGGCTTGGCTGCGTTCAGGTTTACAGCGGTGCGGGAAGAGCTGTAGACTGAGGTGGATCAACTACTTAAGGCCGGACTTGAAACGCGGCAACTTCCTCGACGAAGAAGAGCAGCTGATCATCACCTTGCAATCGCTCCTCGGCAACAGGTCCGTTAAATTCTCGCAATTCGAACAGCAGCGTGAGGGATTATTAGCCTGCGGTTGTGGAGTCCTACAAGCCCGCCTGTCGCGTCCGCATGATCGGCTGCGAGAATCGCTCCAGCAAATCCAGACTCGCGGAAATGGGGTGCTCGCCCATCTGCGCACATCTGCTGACAGATTCGGGACCTAATTCCCGCCGCTCATCGTCAATGCGCAGCTAAAGTTCGAAGACTTTGCTCCCATTGTACATATTGTAGAAACTCGGGGCCTGTGGCTCCGGAATTACAACTCCAAGAGCCCGACGTGCGCGAGCACGAGGCGCTGACCAGTCCTCGGATCGGCATGCTGAACATTCAGCGGGAATTGAAATCTACTCGTCAATTCCCAGAATGCCGTGGGAAATCCTCGCCCGCACCGCATCGCCTCTGCCCACGTGATACTTGTCGCCGAAAAGCCCTCCTGCCGGGCCATCCCTTTTGCACTGACGTGCCAGCAGCTGCAGGCATCTGTCCATCCATGCGCAGTCCGCAGTCCGCAGCCTGCAGCGTCTACTCGTCGACAAGCCACCCACCGGGTGCACGTTTCTCGTTCTGTGCACCACACTGCGGAGACAAGCTGCTCTCCGGGGGGAAATTTCTGCCATAGCGAATTTGCTATCGGAATCCTCCCCAATTCCCACTCCACAGCCAAACGTCGATTCCGGCCTCGGTGCTCTGTGTTCCGAGGCCCAATTCTCCGGGACAATGGCGAGTGCTGTGTCGAGCGATTGATTGATTGATTGAGTGCGTGGTGGGGTGCGCAGATGGTCGCTGATCGCCGGGCGACTGCCGGGACGGACGGACAACGAGATAAAAAATCACTGGAACACGCATCTGAAGAAGAAGCTCAAGAGCATGGGCATCGATCCTTCGACGCATCGCGCCGTCATCCCGCTGCAATCTCCCGGAGGCTCAAAGAAAACCAGTTCCACGTACTTGCACGCCCCTTCCGTTCACACTGGTGCTCAGAATAAGGTGATCAAGTTGAAAGCGCAGGCGCAGCAGAGGGCGCTGCCCGTCGCGGCCGAGGCCGAGCGCGCCCAGACGCAGCAGGTCGAGCCCGGCACCAGCCTCTACAAGGGCGAGCGCGTCATCGAACTGCGCGACTCGAGCTCGTCGCGCTCGTCGGAGCCCGTGGTGGTGCGGGCGAAGAACGTCGCGGAGCTGGCGGCGCCGCAGGCCAAGCAGGCCGCCGTGAAGCTGGTGGAGTGCTCCGTGGCGCGCGACGGCGTCGGCGTCGGCGCGACCTCGGCGCCTTCGAGCATGGCCGCAAATCTCGGGCATGCCAAGCCGGCCGCCGCTTGCTCGGCGGGGCCATTCGCGCCCGGCCATCGATTCCTCGAGAGCTCGAATTGGCCCTCGCCCTGCGAGCCCTTCGCGGCGCATGTCGGCGGCTGCCTGGACTCGCCTCCGACGAGCAGCAGCGAGGAGAGCCATCGGCAGCTGCTGGCGTCGCTGGATCCGCTGGAGTACAGCTTCGACCAAGTGAGCTCGGGGGCGAGCCATCACCATCCCGGCGATGGCGACAGAGTCGCTCTGCGGTTCGTGGACGGGGCGGCGCTGTCGAATCTGCACATTCCGCGCGCTGCGTGGGCCGAGACCTTCCTGCCCATCCTCAGCAGCCCGTCCGGCATGGAGAGCAGCTACTCGTCGCCCAGCGACTCTCCGGCCTCGTCCGAAGACGAGCCCATGACCCATTCTGCTCCGGAGTGGGTCATGGCCGAGAGCCGCGAGATGGAGGAGGCCGAGACCGCGAGCGTGGGGCTCCACGCGCACGAGCTCCAGGCCCCGCTGAGCCACAACTGGTCCCTGGCCGCGGGCATTGCGCTGCACCTCGACGGCGACCTGCAGCTGCACGACGATGCCGAAGCCTCGGACGTGCTGTGGAACTTCGATCATATTTTGATCCCGGATCACAGTATGCACAATCTGCACATGCACAGCCTGAGGTAGCTAGACGAGCAGCGCAGCCCCTCCGGAGTCGAGCGACGGTCCGACAGATTCCCTGTGTAAAGATATTTTTGAGCTTCAAACACAGACGTATACCGTGTAGTTTTAAGTGCTCTTACAAGTTTGTTTGCGGCGGGAGAAGACGATCGATCCACAATCGGATCTTAATATGAGGGGCTCCTGGCTGAGCTTGCAGTCGGACTTGCATAGAACATTCATCCCGAAGGTGCAGGGATCGAGCTTTTAGTAATTAGACAAATACTCTGAGACTGGTGGATCATGTTCAACTTGATCGATCATCTTCATACTCCAACACCAACCTTGTCATAGTTTCCCTTTGTAACTTAGTTAAAATCTCATCATCACCGAGCCCGGGCTTACAGCAAAGGTAGAGGATTTGTGCACTGAAACCGCCAAGTGTGTCGGGTGCTTGATTCCAGCTGCTGTTGAGCACACGTATAGAAGGGGAGACCTGACAAGTTTGAAACTGATAATCACGGGCCCAGATTCGCCCCAGGCCAGGCACCACTTGTTCAATATGACACTTCGAACCTGAAGACTTCGCAACTACATCACTATCACTCGCTCTCTCTATTCTTCGTCCATCGTGTTCATGGTCATCCAGATCCTCTTCATCTTAACGTCCGTATGCATGGATTCGTGATTTTTGCTGCACTTGTTCACGTGCGGTCATTCCAAAGCTCCTCAAGGATGCCTCTTCTTCTCCGTCTTATTGCCCGTCATTTTTGGCATGAGCATGGGAACTTGCAGGCGACTGCGATCGATAACTTATTTCAGAACTCGAGGAAAAAGGTCGTGCTTGTGAGCCCGGAGACCTCGAAATCGTGCGTCTGACAGCAGATTCGAATGCTGTCAGACGATAGGGGGCGCGGTTTTGGAGCTCATCGTAGTACAGGACAGTACAGGAGTGACTTAGAGATATGTTTGTACAAAGGAAATGCAGAGCTCTGCATGCGCATTTACTTCTGCCTCGAAACTCTTCCACAGACAGAGCAGACGTCCATCATGTACATATCACCTTATACTAGAATAAGCTAGTTGCAATCTAGATATTCGGATTGCTTCTTCCTATGTACGGGCTTCATTAGCTTACGCTGGCTTTCTTCTTCACTTCACTTTGTAATCACTTGATCAGATCTTTCATGGACCATGATAGACTCTAGCCGCGTCTCGAGTGGAAATCACGGTCATCGGTACTTTGTTCCAAATCGGTTGCGATGCATGCTGATGGATGCTCGACATGTTTGTGCTGATGGCTGATGGCTGATGATATCCGACCTCCGATATTCAGGAACAAGATTGCGTCATTCATTTACAGTTTCCGAGCTTCTAAAGCGGGTCCCAAAAGTTTCGCCCCGCATGCAAAGATCCTCAAAAACACCCAATAATGCTACGCACAGTTTAGGTTTATTAGAAGTTGGCAGTCGTTGCAAGTAAGCAGCAAAACAATGTGTGAGACCATGCATCGTTCATGGGCAAACTCGTGGATGGACAACGCTGCCTGTTGGGCCCGTCGTGGGCAAGAGCACGATGACTTCGGATTTGTGTCACTGATTTCTTTTAAGTTATTCGGTCAAGGTCGGGCTAAATTTGTGTCTCATCAGACTCTCGTTTTTCGCAGTGGTATCGTCCCGTTACATATCTAACCACTGAAGCGAGGTCACCTGCACGAGTTGGCTCCCCGGTTGAATTGCAAACCCATGGCACCTGGTTCTCGATTATTCATTCATTCATCCAGGCCTCTTGGATATTGACGGACCGCCAAGATTTAGCTTTTCGTGCGAACTCAGGCTTTCAAAACACTTTAATATTTTCAACAAGAGAATCCTGGAATCTAGACTTTAGACCACACCTTCTCCGGGCTACACTTCCATAGCTTTGACGGACGAGACATTTCCGGGTCTCTCAAAGCATGAACCGTGGAAGACCTTCCCATTACCCATCTTCCCAGGCCCTCGTGGGGCAGGTCTACGTGGGCATGCTAGTCCAAGGCCCTTCGAGGGATTCCTGAGCGATACGTTTCCTCCATCATTGGTTCCTGTATCACAAAGAATGGATTCTAGATCCTTCACTCCGGAATCCAGACTCAACTCGACCAGAGTCTTGTGTAAAGCACCTTCCCAATATATCGAGCTTCTGATTCGAGGTTCAAAGTTGACGCACACTTTTAAGGCTGTTGTGTCAGCCTCCATGGCCTTAATATATAAGTACAATATATCGATGCCCTCCGAATATAATAATAAACTTTAGACCACATTGCCAATATGGAACTCAACCGATCTGAATGGAGAATTTGGAAAGGTGGAGCTGAATCATTTGATTTCCAACCCAAATTGCACAGTCCACTGGCTCAGCCAGCAGGGGAAGGACCTCGGTACCCTCCTTCCCGAGCTAAGCTTCGACGGACCGTGCTTTGATACACGTTCCAGCTCTCGTCAGGCACGGGTACCTTGCGATGCAAGGCACGGGCGTATGAAGGAATTGCCTTGCATCCAAGCCAGCTGACCATCGACTTGCAGGTCTTCAGTCGGAAGAGCAGGACTTTAGGATGTCCTACTTCTATAAATAAATACTACTGAAGTCCTACATGCGGGCGGACCACCGCAGCATCATGCTCCAGGTTTGCAGATAAGGGCATCGAGGGACTGAATATTTTATTTTTCCATCGACTGAGGTCATAGAAAATCTCCTACGCTCGCTCATCACTTCGTTCCAGCATCGCTTCGGTGACAGAAATTCTGGCCTTGCCGGAAGTTAGTCAGTAGCTTCGGAGGATTTCCGAGCTGCGCTATGACGAAAAAGCCGAGATGATTTTCATTTCAGAGCTCCTCCAAACCGACTGACTGACTGATCATGACTTACTCGTTGACACATCACGAGGCGGCATAACTTTAGAAGGCGAACTGGTCTTCAGGACATGGAAGGTGACGCGAGCATCCTGGCCACTGGGAAGTAAAAGCGGATATGCTCGATCATGGTTTCCGTACCGGAGATTGACTGGCGAGCAGTACTTACCACAAGAGTAGCGCACCCGATGAGATGGAACACGACTGAGAGAGAGAGAGAGAGAGAGAAAGAAAGAGAGAGGGCAAAGTGTTTGTGCGTGCGCCAATGAGTGAAGGTGGGGGCTGGCTGCGGGGGCGAGTGACACACTTCGCTGCCTCCATCACGAGTCCAGTCATCCATCGGATCGAGCTTGGAAACGCGGGCCGTTTACAGTTGGTTGCTGCGAGTGAAGTAGGGAGGGAGGGAGGGAGGCAGGAAGATTACCAGGGAAGATCTACAGTGAGGAGGGTCAATTGCAGCACTTTCATGTCGTCAACTCAGCTCCACCTCCGGTGCAATTGTGCCGAGCTCGAGAATCCCATTGGCACCGGGCAGTGGGGCGGTCAAAAAGCGAGCCGAGCCCCCCCACTCCCCTCGACTGCTCAGCTCGCATCGCTGCGGTAGTCGCTCGTAAAGTTACGCTGGCTTGGTGAACAATTCACTCGATCGTTTGTTTGCTAGTCCAGTGAGCGCCTCGCTTTGTCCGGGTCTTGTTCTCGGTTAGTCTAAAGGCCTACTGTACGATCCCTGCGGAATCAGATTCCGAGCTTGAATGTCACTCTACGACCACGGGGCCAGCGATTTATCGTCGCACGGTATGCTCATGCTCACGAATGAGGTCAGCCACGGTCAACGACTAGCCGACAAGCCCGTCCGTATGCGATCCCTTGCCTGCCTCACGCATACGTACACTGTACGTACATGCATCTCCTCCCCTCTCCTGCCCCCAGAATCTCCGCATTGCCAAATTTGGTTCGATCGGGCCCCGGGCCTCTCGATCTGTCCTCTCGATTCGTCGGTCCGCTCTAGGTTCCAGACGTCGGCCTGTGTGTGGAGCCCCCCAGAGTATAATTATTATGATGATGCAAGGCGGATATACGAATACGAATACGGATGGCTGGCTGGCTGGCAGACAGGCACCCGATATTTCCAGAGCTCGGCCCTCTCGATCTCTCTCTCTCTCGTCCCGATTCTGAGAGAGAGGAGTTCCATCGTCATCCTCGAAGATCGACACCCGCTGCTCGCCCCGAGGTGTCACGAGTGATCGATCGATCGCCTCCTCTAACAGAAGGGCGAGCAACGAACACTCTCAAATTCTCGAACTAAAGCCTCGAGCGGAGCTAACAGAATTGGGAGGAATTAAATGAACCTCCAAGGTACTTTCATAAGTTCCTTAATACATTATGTGAAGGGCACCAGGACCGACTGAACTTTATGAGAGTCATAGGATGGGCTGTTTTGGCAGGTTATACCGAAGCCCAATTTATCTTGCACCTGCAAGCTCCCGGAGGCTCAGACAGACATGTCACCAAAAGCTCCAGCTCCTGCTGCTGCTCCCCTCGCTACCTGAGAGCTCGCGAAGCAACACTCGCTTCTTCGTCTGGCGTCAGGTCAGGGCGTAGCAGCCAACTATGCACTGGACGACGGCTGTGTGTACGCCCCTACGATGCGTATGAGTAGACTCGACGCGCACTGGCTCAGCCTTGAAGCAGGTAGGCCACGGATCCATGCCAAACGAGTGCAAGATTGCAGCCGTCTGGACTAGAGCAGCACCGATGAGCCTGCTAACAGCAGATTAGTAAGTAGCGGCAAGGCTGAGGGCACTTGGGGAGGTGCACTAGAGCGATGGAGGGAGCGAGGACTTCCGACGTCACTGGGGGCAGAGTCGAAGACTCTGATCGAGTGCGCAAGTCCAAGTCGCAGTCGCCACCGTCCAATATAGAATTCGGATCAGTGTCTCGAGGGCAAGAGTTTGATAATTTAAAATATTCGTTGCACGAGTCGGAGGATGACGTCGCGAGGGCGATCGGGGTGCGATCTTACGTGAGCAGCAAACATCCGTCAACGATGGTGGTGAACGAAGAAGAATCGCCGATGTGTGGCGAGCTCTGGTGAGCGAGCAGCGAACCGAGCCGGGTTGAAATCCTCCGGGGGTTGACCGGGGGCCCTGAGATGTGCCCTGCGCAGCGGTGCCGAGCTTGGCATGGGCTCCAGGGAGACAAAGTGTTCAGGCAACAATGGCTGCCCTCGCGTGGCCGGGACCCATCGCCGATCCACGAGTCTGCTGACGAAACCCGCTTTACGCTTTTTGACAAAATATACTCTCGTCCTTTGAGAGAGCACTTAAGTATCTAACGGCCTAGCGCTCGCACTCAAGCATCTCCAGGAATTGTGGGGCCGTGGCTTCTTCCCATGCGCATAATAACCTGCGACTCACTCTTTTCTTTGCGCTCTGCTTTTCTTTTGACTTTCAGCATACTCTCCCTCTGCTCCCGGCTCTGGCTCTGGCTCTGGCTTCGGACCGGGGCAATTCTCAACTTCCACAACGCGACCCTCCTCCGTCTCTGCTTTTCTAGCCCGCCGCAATGCCACCAGCGCTGTCGTGACCGGGCTCTGCCTCTGCCTCGACCCCACCGGGGCCCCCTCGATTGGCCCCCGATTTCGAACGACGCGTTCCTGTGGGGTCCCAGCACCTGGCGATCCTCGCCTTGGCACCTCGACTTGCAATTCCGAGTCCCCAGGGGAAATGCTGCTGCTACTCCCCCACGGTCTCGGATGCTTGAGTGCCGTCGAGGAGTGAAGTAGTAGTTTTGCCTTTGCTATGCTCTGCTCTGCGCTCACGTTCCGACCTTCGAGCCAGTACCTCATCATCCTCCACCAGCTCCTCTTCCTGTGAAGGCCTCATTGACCCTTTTTCTTGCGGGTCTTGCATCATTCTTCACCTGCCACCTCGTCAATCTCATTAGTCTCATGAATCTCGACACCTTTCATCTGGACGATGCATGTCACATACTGATATCCGCACACAGAGCTCTCGATCGTCAAATGTTTTGTTCCTACATGGATGATATGATCTGGGGGTGAGGACAAAGTGCCGAAGTAGGTGAAATTGTTTTTCGGTGAAGGTTTCCTGTCGTCCTTTACTTCTCTCTCTCTCTCTCTCTCTCTCTCTCTCTCTGCGCGACTCCTCTGCTCTGATATGCTCTCACATGGTCGTCAGTCAGCAAAATTCCGGTGGAATTTGAAATTGTGAGTTGAACTTGAAGGCAAGA